TACTAAATTAAAAATATAATTAAAATAATATATATTTTTTAGTATTTTGTGAATAGTGTCTAGTTTCACAAAACACTAAAATACAATTAAAATAACTAGACACTATTCAACACATAATGTTCATATTTAGTGTTTCTTTTAATCATCATTTAGGTGTCTGAAATTTTCTGCTTTATTGAGAGAACCAAGGCAACTGTTTGCAAATATATCTACTTTCTCCCTGCTACTTTCTCTTATTACAAATAAGCATCCCAAAATTCACAATTGTTGCTTTCTCTTCCTCTCAATTAATTGCATCGCCGATCTTCTTCTCAGACTAATCGTTGCTTTCGCATCTCTCGCTCGAGGTCGATTTGAGATTGCGGTGAAGTAGGAACCCTAATTTTGTGGGAATTGTGCAGTCACAATCCTCCTTAGATCCGAGAATTCGGAACCGGAACTTCCAAATGGAGAAGAATCTCGCCGGAGACTTAACTCAGATGCCCAAATGGAGAAAAGTAGCGTACGGAGGTATGCAAATCGGTTACGACGACAATTACACAGAAGAATCATTCCTTGAAGAAATGGTAATGAACGCAAACATCGTGAGGCGTGATTTGCTTAAGGTGATGAAAGACTCTGTCTCCATTTCTCAATACCTCTGCATCGTTGCTCTTGTTGTCTTGGTTTGGGTCCATACTCTTGGTTCATCTTTAGATGAGAACTCGCTATTGTTACTCGATCTTTGAGTCTTCTCTTGCGTTACGTCATCAATATTTCATTCTTCACTACTGGACTATACATCTTAGCTCCGATTCACCAGACGTTCGATTAGCTCGGATTCGATATGGGCATTTACGGTTTCTCTCATTTTCTTACATCTATTCTTGCATGATTACTCTGGTTCCACTATTAGAGCTCCAAGGGCATTGAAAAACTCAAATTTGATGAGTTGTATATCTCTCAATGCTTCTATTGTAGTATCGGTTTTTGTCGCCTCGCAACTTCCTTCGAGGCTCCATGGAGATTCAATCACTAGGAGACTCTCACGTGCCTCATTTGCATTTCGTGAGTGATTATACACCATGTGATTTTCGTTGCAAAGTGATTTGAGTAATATCGTGTTAGAATTACGTTTGAAATCTGTCTAGTACTTTTGGACTAGAGTTATTTTCTGTTTTTGGTTGTTCTGAATGGTAATATATGTTGGCTTCCAAGCTAAGATAAACACGTCGTGGCTTCTTCCCCCTATCATTGTGTACCACGATATGCCCATCTCTATTCGTTACACTCCGTTCATCTAATTTCCTCAAATCAAGAACAATACAATCTTACCTTTACAAAGGATGCGAAGGTTGACTAATAACTATGTGAGAACTATGTGTATGTGTTGCTAGACCTCTTCTTACATCTACTTTAACCACAATAGCAAACATGACTTGATTTGTATGCTTTTTCTTTCGGAAACTGTACGAAACTAAAAAACAATCAAACTAGGTGATTCAATCACTAGGAGACTCTCACGTGCCTCATTTACATTTCATGTGTGATTATACACCATGTGATCTTCGTTGCAAAGTGATTTGAGTAATATCATGTTAGAATTACGTTTGAAATACGTATAGGAGTTTTGGATTAGAATTATTTTCTGTTTTGGTTGTTTTGAATGCTCATATATGTTGGCTCTTAAGCTAAGATAAGCACGTCGTGGCTTATGCCCCCTATCATTGTGTACCACGTCATGCCCATATCTATTCGTGATACTCCGTTCATCCGATTTCCTCAAATCAAGAACACTACAATCTTACCTTAACAAACGATGTAATGGTTGACTAATAACTTTGTGAGAACTATGTGTATGTGTTGCTAGACCTCTTCTTACATCTAGTTTAAAAACAATAGCAAACATGACTTGATTCGTATGCTTTCTCTTTCGGATACTCTACGAAACTAAAAAAACAATCAAAATAGGTGATTCAATCACTAGGAAACTCTCACGTGCCTCGTTTGCATTTCGTGAGTGATTATACACCATGTGATCTTCGTTGCAAAGTGATTTGAGCAATATCGTGTTAGAGTTTGAAATCCGTATAAGAGTTTTGGACTAGAGTTATTTTCCGTTTTGGTTGTTTTGAATGCTCATATATGTTGGCTTCCAAGCAAAGATAAACACGTCGTGGCTTCTTCCCCATATCATTGTGTACCACGTCATGCCCATCTCTATTCGTTACACTCCGTTCATCTGATTTCCTTAAAATCTAGAACACTACAATCTTAACTTTACAAACAATGCAAAGGTTGACTAATAACTTTGTGAGAACTATGTATATGTGTTGCTAGACCTCTTCTTTCATCTAGTTTAACCTCAATATCAAACATGACTTGATTCGTATGCTTTCTCTTTCAGAAACTCTACGAAACTAAAAAACAATCAAACTAGGAGATTCAATCACTAGGAGATTCTCACGTGCCTCATTTGCATTTCGTAAGTGATTATACACCATGTGATCTTCATTGCAAAGTGATTTGAGTAATATCGTGTTAGAATTACGTTTGAAATCCGTATAGG